TCTTCAATTTGTTTTATTGGGTTTTAAAGCATACAGCATACAATTAACAGTCAGGAATAGGAGTGGTAAAAGACAACAGTTCGCCCTTACAGTGGGCGGCATACTACAGTAGGCATAAGCAAAAAAAAAGGGGGGGGGGATCAGGGGGAGGGGATAATGCAGATTGTTGCTGCAACTCATGTGTGTTAACATTTTTAAATAGACCCCCTTGTTCTATATTGCTCTACCTATTGATGGACACCTCTATTATACTGAGGCAATGTGAATCATCATTTTTCTTTCTAGGAAAACCCTGACTTTGATTTGCATTTTGATAAAATCTACAAGTGGGTCGCCAGCAGCCCAGCTGAAAAGAATACTTTCATTTCCTGCATCTGGAAACTGAACCAGAGATACCTGAGGAAAAAAATCGACTTTGCCAATGTTAGCGCACAGCTTTTGGAAGGTAGGTCCTTAATGTGGTCATGTTTCATCACCAATGAGCTAAAACAACCCTGACCTGAAAACAAAATGAGATATTTTATTGAAAATGATAAACTGAGGAAATTTAGAGTTACAGTAGTTTAACAGCTTGTTTGCAGTTCAGGAGGCAAGTCATATTACCTAGGGGTCGATTTATAAACAATTTGCAGAACCATTCGCCCTGTAAATCTGTGTGAATGCTTGTTCTGTGCGAATAGAGGCAAAATAAAATCGAACATTATTGGTATAGTTTCTTTTCATGCCTAATGTAATATTACATTATGGCCACTAGATGGCGCTGAGGAGCGTCGGAAATAGAGTATTTATTTTCTATGCTCCCCAGCTCCATCTAGTGGCCATAATTCTGTATTACATTACATTCACCCTAAAAAAAATATCGTGCGTGCACATTTTTTCCTTATGGTTTTTTTTTTACAGTCAGATGTTTAAGAGATTTAAATAATTTAGGAAGGTTGGCAAGGGGGGGCAGAAGATTGGGAAGTGTAGAAGAGTGGATTTTCAAAACATTATGTAAAAGTACGTTAGTTAACTCTTTGCATGGATTGTTTATGGCAATAGAGGTTGTTCTACTTTATATATGTTACAGCATAACAATAGATATCTGTTAGATTCTGTACTGCTAATGTTTGGTGGTATATGCCGCAGCCGTATGCATTCAGCCTTTGCCTGTCTGGCTTTAATACTCTTTTGCTTACTGTCCTCTGCTCTTTTTCCCCAAATCTTTTACACTTCAGAGCTTCCTAAAGTTTCAGAAGGTGGGTGTCCTTATTTACTTCTCTTTCCCTTATTCGCTGACTGTTCATCTTTGTTGCAATTTTGTATCTCCTGTCCAAGACCATCATTCACAAAGCATGGTGTCACGGTGTGTGTTCAGGATGGAAATACTGCTTTATGGAGAGGAATCTCAACCAACGGCAGGGACGTGTGCTAATTATTTTCTATATAGGATGGATGCTGACTCAGCGTGCATTAGATAGTGTAAACTATTCATTCTAGCACTATGGAAAATATTTTTCAATTACGCTCTCCACTACTTTTAGTTTCTAATCTTTTCAGATTGTTTATAGTTGTGGAAAAATAGCAAGAAAATAATTGCTTGAAAAATCATTACTCTTTGTCCATTATGGAAGAGCGACTTAACTCGCTGCTTTTAAGTCATTTTCTCTTTCCAGTTGGCCCGACTATAATTGCCAAAATCAACACAAACACGTATTCATGTCACCAGCTTATGGTTTTGCACCAATTTTCACATTCTCCCATTTTTAGGTGCCATTATCTTTTGTTTCTCTAACCTCTCATTTCTCATTCTTACCTTCTAAATCTATAAACCTGACCTTGTGTGTGTGCCCCTTGCTGCAGGGCCCCTGCCTAGTAACTATTATTGGTTTCCTTTTGCCATGCACATTAACAGCATGTTCTTTCATCTATTGTCTTCATCATCTTGAAGAGTCTGTTCCTAGTGGAGAGAACCAGAATGTGGCCGGGGGAGAGGAAGAAGCAGTAGCCGAATACCAAGAGCTGAATGCCAGGGAGAAACAGGATATCGAGTTCATGATGGAGGGCTGTGAATATGCGATTTCCAATGCTGAGGCCTTTGCTGAGAAACTTTCCAGGGAGCTACAGGTCCTGGATGGGGTAAGGTCTCTGTATTTTAAAGTGGTTCTGGAAGAAAGATTTAGAGTGTTTCCCTCATTAACATTGATGAAAGCAAGAGCTTTGATTTATCCAAGGAAACTGTCTGTACGGACTTTGAATGTCCTTGTGTTTTGCGTGGGTTTTCCTCAGGAGGTCATCTTTTTTTTTTCTAGCAGGAACCATTTAGTTTTTGGGTTTCCCAATGCAATCTGGGTATTGGGGTGACCAGTTGAGATGCACATGCATTGCATTGTGGGATGAGATGGGAAGGGCTATTACTGTGCCAAACTTTGACTTTGCAAATTTTAAACTTGAGTAGGATTTCTCAGAGCTCCTAGCTCCTAGGCACCATAAAGGTTGAACATAGTTACATAGTTGAAAAAAGACACGTGTCCATCGAGTTCAACCTATAGACAAAAGTTAATTGAGAAATTGGCTTTTGTCAAATCCGGTGATGACGGCATCGCCACCCACGGATCATATTTAGGTCTATTCAGCAGGAAGTGGACAAAAATTTGATCCATGTATGCCCAGCTTAAAACTCTTCCTATTATAAGAGATCACATGTCTAGGATGCCTAAGCATTTTGTCATGTGACTGGATGCACTGAGACTCCGTAGCAGCATGTCCAGCAGCCAATTTATTTGAGGTTTTTTATTCATTTTCAATACAGACTAACAGGTAGATTCCTAAGTACAGATGAATTACAGTAGCGCCTTGCTGGCACTGGTGTCTCACAGTTGGCTTTGAGGAGGACAGTCCGAGATGGTACTGATGATAATCTAAAAAAAAGATATGTTATTTGGGAGTAGGGGAACGAAACGTTATGCACAGTTTGCGCATTGAAGGTCACAGCCACCAAAGAAGATGAGAAGGCATGCGAGTTGACTGGTATAGACAAATAGGGGTTGACTTACTAACCTTATAAACACACCACGAACATGTATACACCTCTGTAGTGTGTTCCCTCCCAGCATGATCTATTGGTGGAATCTAAACACCTTTGTAGTGTGTACACACCCAGCAGGTTTGTTGTGCAAAGCCCTGCCCTGAATTGCAAGGTGATGTTGTGTAAATTAGCTCTACATTGTGTTGCTTGCGTTGATGAATGCAGGAATGTAAATGCATGAGCTAACCATTTTTGTCTAAACTGTGAAGCAGCATTATATATGCATCATGTGCATGATTTTTCCATATATGGCATTAGTGGAAATATGCTTATAGAGACTTTTTGGTTGATAAATACGCTTTGCTGTGTAAAAATCACACGCACCTGGTGCGTGCGTGTGTTTAGGTTAGTAAATCACCCCCATAGTGTCAATGACCATATGTATCTACCCTGTTTAGTCTTGTAATCGTATGTTATTTTGCTGAGGACATTTCCCTTTTTTCCAGGCAAATATCCAGTCCATCATGGCTTCAGAGAAACAAGTTAACATTCTTATGCAGCTGCTGGATGAAGCCCTCAAAGAGGTGGACCAGATAGAAGGGAAACTGAGCAGCTATGAAGAGATGCTGCAGAGTGTTAAAGAGCAGATGGATCAGATCTCTGAAAGTAACCACCTCATTGAGCTCAGCAAAACCAACAGTGAAACTCTGCTGGGCGAGATTGAGTTTCTTGTTGTAAGTACGATGTTCTAAAAAGTTCTTTCAGCTGTACGAATTGTCATGGGCCTATACGGCACCCTTATTTGTGACCTGTAATGTCCAGTTCATGGCAAATCCAGATATTAGCTTGGAACCACTGCTTTGAAGAGCATTCTGTTCAGCAAGCAATCACTAGCATTCCCCCTTTTTTAAGGGGATATATTGTGACTTTTATGTGTTTGTGTTTTAAACCAATGCATTCTCACTTGGTTTATAATTTTGGCCGGCTGTCTATATGGACCATCAAATCCGTCCATTATGTTTTCTTTTGATAAGAAGCTTGTGTTTCCTCAAGTATAAGGAAAAAAAGTGTTTTGGAGTTTCACCTATTTGATGTAATTTGAGCAATAAATAACATTGTGCCGCATATTTCTAACCAGCTGTATTGGATTGTCTTCTAGCACCACATGGACCTATCAAGAGGTCACATTAAAGCCCTTCAAGAAGCTGATCTATCTTCCTCCCGTGGTATTGAGGCTTGTACTAATGCAGCGGAGGCACTTCTACAGTGTATGAATGTATCTCTCCAACCAGGTATCCACTTTACACAATATTTCTAATATGAGAGTGTGTGGTACTTCATTATCTCTGGAATCAGCTCTTTGGTCTTATTATGCCCTCACCACAAGCCACGACCACAAAGTAAACTCTTTTGGAACAAAGATGCATTTTACAGTGTGTTTTTATGGTTTATTAATTGGGTAATGTTTCTAAAAGCCAAGGTGTAATAAATGTAGTGTTGCATCCTACAATTGAACGGGACTCGCCTTTATGAGGATAAATTGGTATGTGTGTAACCGGGGGGTTTTATACCTTTCTATGAATTAGTCTGTTTGATGTTTGGCATTGTTTGTTAGGCGATAGACTGTTTTTCTAGTTGTGAGAGGAAATTTTGGCCATGACAGTTGCTGGCGTGGGGCTGAGAGCAGTTAGTGTCACTGCAATTGACCACTTTATCGCCATTGGACATTTTGACTATTAAAGGACAACTGTACCCTTGGTACAATTTGTCCTTTAAAAAGACACAGATAAGATATTTTTGTTAAAAGTACTTGAATGCATTTTTAAAATTGAACTCCTGAGTTTAGTTTAGTGTCACTTTATGGCATGCTCCCATCCTACTGAGTGCAGACCATCTGGTCCAATACTCTGTCCCTGTTCCAATGATCCACTGTGCAGCTCTGCCAGAGCCACACAGCCTTTTTTCTGGAAGCATTATCTTCCATCCATTCATTACTTTGGGGAGCCGTACTCATGGAGACCTCCAGTGTTCTTGTGAAGAACGCCACTCCGCATAGGAATGAGTATGTTCTGCATGCACAAGTTGAAGAGGACCTAATTAGGTAAACAATTCCTAATGGAGGGGGCTGCTGTTGCCGGCATTCATTTGCAAATACTAACGCTGGGCTATTAGGCCGACCTTCTGGATTTGCCTTAGTGACCATAGACCTTTTAAAGGAAGGCATTGCATTTGCATTGATCTCGCTGCTTTTTCGAAGCACCTTCCTAAGCAAGGAGGGGAGGTCTAGGAAAACTTCAGAAACTTCCTTTTTGAAGTATGTCTTTTTTTTTTATTCGTTTGAAGTATATCATATCGTTTGAAGTAAAGAATAAAACCATAAAAAGTACCTTTTGGTTATGATTTTATCTTTTATTAAAGATATACTTTATGAGGAAAAGGCCCTTTTGTCTAGGTTTAAACCTCATGTATTGGAAGATGTCCCTGTCGGTTTTAGAAGCTGCTTATCTCTGTGAAGGAAATTAATTGGTCTATATAGTAAACAGCTCAACAAGTCTTTGCCAGGGCCGGAATACTTTGTATTTATCCTTTGTTCAGCCTGTCTGTGCTTTCAGTGATCTGTTTTGTGACTTACTAACCTCTTGTTCTTGTTTAGGACACTCCATGCTTCAAGCTGTAAAACAGCAACAACAGCTCTTTACTGACCTCAGAGAGCAGTTTGCTCGCCGACTAGCCAGCCACCTAAACAATGTATTTGTTCAACAGGTACTTGTGTTATCCATTTCTACATTGTATTATTTGTAATAGCAAACCATGTACACATGATTTGTGTAGTAAAGTACAATATAAACAGGTTTTCACAAGAATGTAGCGATGTGAAACAAATGCACTGGAAGATCTGAGCACCCCAGATAAACCCTTTATGAAGTCCAGGTATTTCACAGTAAGAAATAGAAATACCTTTGTGTTTATATAACACATATGATAAAACAAAGCTCACAAAGAAGGAAGGTTCAGCAATGGTAGCCTCTAAGTTTCCTTTATGACCGGTTTCCTGTGACATATGAACCACATCAGATACAGCCTCTGTTTGTAATCCTCAGCAGTACAGTTAACAGTAACTCTTTCATGATCCCTGTTTGGTAATGCAGCTCAGCAGACCAGCAATTTACTTTACTTCTCCAAGGTCTCTGGATGTATTCCACACATCCAGGTTTGTGATCACCTCTCCTCCCGCTGCGGGCAGTGTTTCTTCCCGCACACCGATACATCACTACAGGATGAACAAGCTGGCAGGAGGAACTATTGCCTGCAGTGGAGGGCAGAAGATATTTAACCCATTCGAATGGTCGAATAACTGTAGTGGCTGAGGGGCTTGAGGAGGCACAGCATGGATCTGCATAGTTATTACAGAGCTCCCAGGATTTGAGATTCCCTCTGGTTCACTTAACTTTATTAGGTTATAACATCATTAATATTTATTCTTCCTGCCTGCTTATTTACATGATGTCTTCCTTTCTTTCTATGCCAAAATTTCTTTTTTCTACATTTTATCTTCCACTAGTTTACTCAGATGTTCCCTCACTTATATAGCAGGTCCTACTATCTCTCAATGGCAGTGAGTACTCTGCGTGGTTATGAAGGCAGTGTTTGCATAATCTTTGTATGGTTGATGTTTTGTTCTGCCCGTTCTTTGTAGATTTTCAGTACTAACAAATATATGTGTGGAACAGCCTGCAGTTATTGTGTAATCGGATGAAAATGTCTCCGGCCCTCCAGCTGTGGTGAAACTACAAATCCATAGCATGCCTCTGCCTCTGGGAGTCATGTCTGCGGCTGTCAGAGTCTTGCAATGCCACGTGGCATTTGTAGTTGTAGTTGTACCACAGCAAGGAGGCCTGGAGTTTGCCTTCCCCTGGTTTAGATGTTTCTGGAACACAGTTGAAATGTGTTATGCCAGATTTGAAATTCTGTTCAGCCAGTCTTGTGATTAGGACATCCAACGCACACTATGCAGACATGAACAAAGATGATGGTGCTGATTCATTGACTTAGGATTCTCAATCGATGAACTAGAAATGTTTGTGTCACCTGCCTGGCTCTCCCCTATAACAGATGTTTGTAAAACTCAAGAATGGCTGCATAGAATGATGCATTCTTTAATAGTAAGCATATTTGGTTCAACGGTGTATTTAGTGTATTCCTGGAGTTCTGATTTAAAGATTCCGAGGGTTTACACAGCCTTAGGTTCTCCACCTTACTGTATCTTCAAATTTAATTTGGAACTCCTTTATAAAAAGCCTACAAGTTGGGAAGTTATATTTTTGCAGCTTAAAGGTACACTCCATTCATATGGGATGATGTTTTTTCTTTGCATTTAAACTTAAAGTCCAACTGAAACTAAAACTTTTTTTTTTCTGCTTGCTTTGGATAGAGTGGAGAGGAATAAGGGCATCTGACATGTTTTTATTGCTGTCTTTGTCCTCATAAGGCAGATTCATACCCCCCCATCTCCGATCCTCCAGTGCTGACTGGAGGAACGGACGAAGGACAGGGCGGGCACAGCTGGCTCTGCGTCTAGACAGGCAGAACTCGCTGTCAATAAGCCAGCTGGGTGGATCTCGACAGTATGGGCAGGAGCCATTTCCAGCAATAGCCCGCTATATACTGAGCTTTGGGTCATGGGAGGACGTTCGTATATGTGTAAAAAGGTTACACCATAGTTCTCTTTTAAGATCAGGACTTGCATGTACATCCTATGGTCCCGAAGTGGTTAACCTGGGGTAATACAAACTACCAGCTTAATATTTCCAGGATTCATTCTTTGCACCTAGCTTCTCTAACAGGTAAATGAGCTTGGATCTTCTAAATGGCACTTTAACAGTGTAGCCTAGTGTGCATGCTGGTTCTAGCAGCACCTAATCTGCAAGCCCATTAAAGCCTCTCCCACGCCTGCTGAAAATGTCAGTACTTTGCACAGCACATAAACACACACAATGAAAATAGGATCCGGCTCCCACTACTTCCTAGACACATCTGTGCAAGCTTTGCTGCCCCTGGGTGAAAGATATTACCAAGACATTAAAAGTAAAACTGAAAGGACATTCCTGATTTTAGCATCTTGGATCTATATCGAGTCAAGAATTCTCGAATTGATTTTTGTTGTTTTTTCATTACATTTAACTTTTGTCTCATTTATAAAAAGTAAGTGGTCAATGTTTTCCCAGGAATTGGAGATCCAAAGACTGTCTGTGTCAGTCATATAACATATTGTCAGTTATTGTCGGTTTGGTGTGCCCGCTACTAAAGTCTAATTTGGTTGCTGAACTAACCTATTGAATGTGATATATAGCCTGGAACTGCAAACGCTTGTTGTGTAGCTGGCAATGTTTTTGTGGTGATGAATACAGAATAACCGAGTCTGCTGATTTTTCCTTTTCTTGGAAATGTCTCTATAGGGGAGTGTAGGAGGTTATATTGCCATTCATGATTTGCAGCATGTGGTGGTAGTTATTGAAAGGCTGTACCAGATAAACCTTTTTTTTATGTCACAGTAACGGCATTAGACCAACTAATTTCTTTGTCTAAAAGGCCTTATTCTTACTAGGCTGGCCACACCAGCATCAAATTCATATTGGCTTTTTCTTATTGAGGCTTGATCTGAATTTTGGATTGTAGTTGGGAAAATGTTCTTTCTAACAGAACCCTTTGGCAGTGGTCAACCATTTTCAAGCCTGACCAATCATCTATTTTGAACCACTTGCTGACCGGGGTGTTTATACCCCCTTTCTGGCCAGGCCATTTTTCAGTATTCAGCTTCAGTACTTTGACTGACATTTATTCCGACTACATATCACATCATGCATTTCTTCCAGCAACAATGATAATGTAACATTTTTCAGACGCTGAGTTGTTGTTCAGACGCCAGGCTTAGTTAGAGTGGTGACGCAAAGAAGTGCATATTCACAGGGCTGAGTGAAATGGTGTCAGTGCACTGAGGAAGTACATCCTATGGGTATCTTCAATAAGTATGTTTACATCCTTCTAGATTAATATGGTTATTAGGAGAGGGATAGAATGGAAATTCAGTATAGAAATATTACATTACATATATATTTTTGCTTTGACCATAGAACGTTGAATTATTTTGACCATAGATCATTTAATTAGTGTTGGGTTTAGTTTAGGAATTAAGTTTTAACAGCTCTACCCTGATGTTTTTACAACAATTCACACCTTCAACTATGGAAATTGAAGGTTTACCACCTATACAAGACTTTCTGACAAATGATGAATTCTAGAACTAGAACATGGGGGTTCTGCACCTTTCACACCTCCTATCCTGTCCTTACAATCAACAGCCACCTTCCCTGGTGATTGGATTAGGGTTTCTGCGCTACCTGTGTGGATATAAATGCCAGGGTATGTCCCTGACACTCATCAGAACTGAGGAAGTGGCTTGGTTAAGCTGTAGAGTGTCTTCAACATTACAGAACAAGTCCAGTTCAATGTGAGTAACTACTACTAGCTACCATGACCTGGAACATGGCTTATATCTGTGGACACAAATACAGGTGTATGGGCTTGCAGCAGAAAATATGCCGGTATTTGGGGCGCCCAGGAACCCCAGCTGTTGCATATTTGTGTCCATAGGATCGTATTAACACAGTACGCTGTACACAGGTATACACAAGGAAGAGCCAGTACCAGGGTTTACACTTGCAGTCATTCCTGAACACGAAAGTTTCCATTGGAAAGAATGGGGAAAGGTTAAAATCTGTGTTAGGTTTTAAAGCTTTCTGATCTAGGGACAACGTTTAAAACAGGAAGTGAAGAAATATCTGCAACAGGGAGACTGGGGACAACGTTTACCAAACAGGAAATTAATAAATATCTGCAACAGGGAAGCGGACAACTATACAAAGCCGACAGGGATTCTAGCATTCTCCTACTTAAGCAAAAATCCAGGCTAAACAAATTGTGTCTAAATACCAGAGCCATGTGTATTCTTTCTTGAATCTTGGTGAGCTTTGTGTATTTCTTCCAGATCTGTGCTGTAATCCAATGTGAAATGTTGCCTCTGTTCAGGAGCTTCCTGTAATAAAGACCGGTCACTGCTGCTCTGGTCTTGTATCCGCCCCCTCCTGTAGTTTTCTGCAGACAATCTGCAGTGGGTGGGGTCTGCTGAATCCCTCCAATAGTGCTGCTCTCTGCACAGTCCATGTGCCGCACATTGATGATGTCACTGCTACCTTTGCAAAGTAATTTCTTGATTTGCAAAAGTATTTGGTAAACACAACATAGATTTATATTCTTTGTGGCTATTCAGGAATATATTTAAATGAAGGCTGTTGTGCCCAGAGTTCAACTTTAACCCTTTTTACTTCTGTCTGTGTTGCTGTTACAGAGATTTTTCCTTACTTCCTGTCCTTTTTAACAGACAGGAAGTGAAGAAATATCTCTGACTGCAGTAAAACCTGAAAGTAGTTCCAATCCTTCCACACTCTATCCAACATAGAGGACCAGAGCTACGAGACAAGGCTACTAAATTTAAACATGTTCACATTGGAGGTGAGGAGATTAAGAGGGGATATGATTTCCATGTACAAAATGTTCAATGGTGGTAGCAACATTAGCGATAAACTGTTTAAAATTAACTCCGTTACAAAAACTAGAGACCACCACCTAAAATTGGTGGAAAAAAAATTCCAGCACAGGGTGCGAAGGGGGTTCTTCACAGTAAGATCAGTTAGGGTCTAGAACTCACTGCCACAGACAGTGATTTCAGATAAGAATGTGGAATTGTTCAAGAAACTTTTGGACGATTTCTTAAGGGACCGTAATATACAGGGGTACGGGTACTCCTAGAATGAGATCCTAATAGGTTGGACTTGATGGACTAATGTCTTTATTCAACCTCAAATACTATGTAACTATGTAATTTTAGGTATAGGTACACTTTAAATGTGTTTTTGAATGCCAGCAGTATGTGTACCTGATTTTGACTTGGTATCAGCCTCTTGCAGTTCCTGTACAGCAGGGCTCAGACTAGTGGAGGGAGATGCTGCATAAGGAGCCAATCACCTATGCTGCAGTGCAAAAAGCTGACGTGAGGAGAGACCTGAATAAAGTGGAAATAAAGGTGAAAAAAATGTCTGGGAGTTCAGGATTTTTGGCAGAACATTCATGAAAAGTGTCTTCTGCCCCAAAAAATTCTTCTGCTCTTCCCCAGCAATTTTGGTTTTATTTTTTATGTACGCTGTATGGTGCAAGTGCCATGAAGTGTACACACTTAGCCCATTCACGACATCTTAGAGTTACATCCTCCATGGCTGGGTGCATGTGCGCAGGAGTTACATCATCAGTGGCCACCCAATGGCCAGAAAGAACTTCTAAGAACCCGAAAGTGTCAGTGGCAGAGATGGCAGCAGCAGACACAGCACTGAGGACTGAAGAACTAAGTGACAGTGCTGAAGAAGGGCTTTTAAGGTAAGTGTACCCTAATGTGTAAGTATTAGGACAAATGCAAAAAATATTCAAGGCAGTTTACTTGCACTTTAACAGAGGGACAAGCTCATCAGTCTACTGTTTGTCCTTTCACTGCCCAATCACAGGCCAGGGTTGAAAAAGAGACCTGTAACTCTTACTGAACCACAACAGAGAACGGTCAAGTCTCCTGGCCTGCCAGACATGACTGTGTAGTGTGGCAGAACTGTGTACAGGATGCAAATAAATACAAACCCTTTGTCAGGTAAACCTGCCCCCATACGTACATTTAATATGTTTATCTAGCTGTTTGCTTGGAGTTCCGCTTTAAAGCAGGTGCAGGGGTCATACAGATTTTTGTAAGAAATGTTTGTTTTCTTTGTGTTCTTTACATAGGGCCACGATCAGACTTCAACACTTTCAGTTGAATTGACCCTTCCAAACCACCATCCTTTCCATCGAGATCTGCTGCGATATGCCAAGCTGATGGAGTGGCTGAAAACCACCGAATATAATAGATACGAAGGACTTATGAAGGTTTGTGTTTTACTTTTTAACAATGTCATTGTACTTCTGATGAGATAAGCGAAAAAAATCCCCTCTAGGTCAGTTATATATTTCAAGAATTTTGGCAACTACTTTTTTTTACCTGCTGCTGTTCTGTTAAAATGTACTAATGGATCCCAGATACTTTCTACTACCTGATTGCTATAACCACATGATCAGTCTGTGTAATAAGTACATAATAACTGCTTGCAAAAGCTGTGAGCCAATCACTTGGGCAGGAAATGGCATTTCCAGAGACAACTTGTATTGCCATGGTCACGAGGAAGCAGCATTTTGAATTAAGGTTTACAAAATCAAATGGGTGCAAATTTGTTTGTTAAAGAAGAACTCCGGGTAAATTTTTTATCAACCCTTGCAGTGTGGCTGCCCCTGCACTGCAAGAGTTACCTGCTTGTATTGGTCTAGAGAGGAAAAAAGCAAAGTTATACTCACCCAATCCTCCAAGCCAGCGGCTGTGACAGTGCTCCCTCCAACCTGTCTCCTCCTACATTCCAGTGATGGTATACACATTGTGCATAGAACGTGATGACTCGGGACCTTAGAAGGCTGCATTGGAGGGGGGAGAATGGCTCTAGGGACTCGTCTAAAAGCCAGCCATCTCTGAGGATAGAGCGAGTATGACTTTTTTTATTTTATTTTCCTCTCTAGTCCAAAATGAGCAGTTAACCCTTGCGGTGTGGGGTTCATCAAAATTTTAATTGGAGTTCTTCTTTAAATCAATGACAGATTGCACGGATCTTTACGCACACTCTAGTGTTTATATCTGTACAGGGGCAGATGCGCAGCTCTTGATGCAGACTGCACAGATGTACAGATTCTTTATCAAAGTGTTTCAACAAAAAAGACGTTTTTCTTTTGGTAATGTGGGGTTGCATCACTTGTAGTATATAGGTTTTAGAAAGGGGTACCAGGGTTACCTCTCCACAAACATTTTTAGGTAGTGAAGTGTAAAATGAACCCTTTCCATTCATGCATCAACAGCAAACTGCTGGCATACACTCACTGTGACATTTTTGCTCTGACAAGGAAAGAACACAAGTAGATAATCAAATACCAAGTCATTTCTAAGCTTGAGTTCCAATGGGCAGCAGCCTCCACTGCCCTCTAAAAGGCAATCGGCTGTTGATCGTTTTTCAGAGGGCATTGAAGCAGCGACTGTCCGGTGTTCAGGGGGTGATGCTGCCCCATTTTTAATCCCAATGGGGATTTTCTATTGCAATACCGGGGTGCAACCACATGGTTGTGGCTCGGTCCCTTTCATTGCAATGGTCGCATTTGACAAGCCAAACATGACATGCTGTATATTTTTTGCTGGACAATGTATACAGCACTGTTCTGTCTTAGTGCTAACATTTCATCAGGGACCAGGGGGGCAGTAAAACAGCAGATCACCTGCCTGTTTTTACCACCCCCTTGATGCCCATGTGAACAAGGTCTAAGGTGTTAGAACGTAGTTGCTGGTGTTCAGTGTGAAGGCTGCAGCACCTATGTCCTGGAAACAGCGCATCGTAATGCGTCTTTTTTTTTGTTGTTAGCACTTTATTGAAATATCACAAAGTGGATCTATCGTCCACAGCATGATTTAATGTGTTGGATTGTATTGCACCACGCCGTACTGAAAAAAATAAATAAATACTGCATGCTGTACCTTTTTTTTTTTTTTTTTTTTGCACAGACCACTGCAGCGTAGTGATGGGAACTGTGCTGATTGATAACAAGGCAAATTGTCTTGTCTTTGCATTGGGAAGACTGCTCAGCACAGCCCAATGTGCCTGGTATGACCAAGCCCTAACACAGTTCAGGAGTGAAGATTCGGATTATTACAAATGCCTATTGGTGAATTGTCCCCTTTGTGAATAGACTGAAGATTAGGAGATCATAATAACAATCCCATTCCATCCATAGTCCTAGAGACTTTCATTCATTGGCATGGAAGACTTGGGAGCCACTTGATGAGTCAATCTAACTTTTACAGCACATTTAAAATCAGGAAGTGTGATCATTGAGATGTGGTGGAGCATGTATCCATGCCAGATTTCATATTATCTAATCAATAATCTACTTCCCCTCACTTTGTCTGCTTTTACCAGGGAATCTTTCTCAATATGAGCCATTATTGATTACATGCAGTTTATTGCTGAAAGCAAAATGTATCATTAAACCTAATTACTGATTGGCCTTTCTTAAAGGGTGCTTGTTGACTATTGTTTCATCATATATAAAGAAGATGAGCAGTAGTTCCCTGAAATCCTTGCAATGATTTTCATCTCCAATTTTGTTGCTTTCCATATTAATGTAACAGAAAAAACGCTGCACACACTCTAATGCTAACCATATAGGGCTAGATTTCAGCCCGGGGGAGGGGCTGAACGATAAAAATACATTGATTTCCCCATCCACGTTAAACAGCGTGTATGGAGCAATCTTCCCACAGCAGTCTGGATACCTGAACATTATGGAGCTGAGCGGTGCTAACAGGTCCACCCATGGCTCGCATTTCAGCTGATTCAACAGGAATCCACCGAAATCCTTATGAAACAGTAGCAGGAATAGCATTCAGTTGCAAAGATACAACCCTGCTGACTGACTATTCACAAGAATAATCAGCGGGGAATGTCTGTCTATCAAACTTGTTTTGCTATGTTGATTAAATCCGCTACAGTCACTGTTGAGGTATCCTAACAGCTGCAGGTACCAGCTGTCAGAATATAATAGCCAGTAGGAGAGATTCTCCCATCCACATAGCTAATGGGGTGTTGGGCTCTTTTTTCTCATTAAGCCTTGCGGGGCTAAACGAGAAACATTTTAAAGTAATGTGTATGGCTTGCTTTTAATAAGGAGCTGTGTTGGCTTCCAGCTTATTCAGAACTCTGGGCAGAATTATTATTAACCCTTGCAGTGGGACTACCCCCACACTGCAAGGGTTAACTGCTCGTTTATGTCTACATAAAAAAAAACAACTAAAACCTATGCTCTCAGCCGGTCGGCTCTTAGACCTCTCCCTTGAGCCTCTCTCCCCTCCACTGCAGTGGTCTAAGGTCCCGTAAATCATCACGTTCTGTACACAGCGTATAGAGATGACAAGTAGGAGGGGTAGCCCCACTGCAAGGGTTAGGAACACTTTTGCTTGGAGTTCTTCTTTAAACAAAACAGATCAGTATGCTCTTGACATTAGGCGATGGCATGGACTTTTACAAGAGCGACTCTAACAGCAAACAAGTCCAAAGCAAAGGGGTTTTACAGTGCAAATTGAGACGTCTGTCAGAGCTGACAGGAAATGTAGTACTCTGCAGTAATCATGACCAAGATTCACTGAATGTCGGTTTGTTCTTTTATTTGCAGAATTACATTGATTACATTGTGCGCTTATATGACCGCGAGATCCGGGATTTCTTTGAGGTGGCTAAAAACAAGATGACTGGTTCCGCCAAAGAAGGAAAGAAGTTTGGTAAGCTAGATGAGCAAATAAAACTTTATGGGGGTGTTTGTAATATCATAGCATACTTAATGCAGTGTATAGGTTCTATGTTCTGTAGGAAAGTTACAGCAGCACTGACCAGAACATATACTGTTGTCTACTTGAGTAGAGAGAGCCTCTCCCTATGGCTCTCTGGCCATGTGCCTTATGTGACAGGCATAGATCTAATTTCACTTTTGTGTTATATTCTCTTATAATCAGTATGTGTTTTTCGGAAGCCTATTGTTTGAATGAAACATCAAGGAATTGAGATTTGGGCACAAACATGGGACTTTTAAAATAACCTAAATCTTTAATCAACAAAAGTGTGCCACACTTGATGTGAACCCTTCGTACAGTTTTCCTTCACTCCACTGGGCCTCATTCATCATAGTGTCTGACACAAGTACTCTATGGTTTGGGAGGCACAACAGACAATTCTTATTTCTGATACTTTGATAAATGAGACCCATTAAAACTGAACTTTAAGAAGGTAATAAAAACATTTAATAGAGTTGTTTATTAATAACTAACATGTACCTAGATAATTCTTGAGATCAGCCTCTGTAATCCCCTGTGCATCAGCACTTCGAATGGAGGAAGGAGGAGCAGCACCCTGAGCCAATCTGTGCTCCCCTGCTTTTTGGAAAGAAGGAATGAATGACCTTATCAGTGTACCTCTTCTTCTGTATCCACTTACAGGGCAGGAGTAGTTTGGTGACCAAAGTGTATGGCTAAACTACAGGGGAGAAAAGTAAGGTCACCTTGGTCATGATGCAACAGGATTACAAATCCTTTGACTGTTTACAACAGTTCACATACATGTATTGTAATTGTGCATTTATCTGGTTACTTGGGGTTCAGCATTAAATACAGATTCAATGCAAATATATCTTTTTTTAGTTTTGGTTGGAGAGTGGAAGTGTTAAAACCTTTGTCGGGTATTCACAGCTGCCTGTATTCCTGGGAAATTTCCTTCACTTCCTGCTCCCGTGAAACAGTCTCACAGGGACAGGAAGTAATGGAAAAATCTCTGAAATGTGGAGAAGAACAGCAACAGTTTCATGGTTTTAGAAGATCTTTGGATTGTTAAATCCTCTTTCTTTCTATTGACCTTTGTGCTAGAGACATCTATTCTTATTTCTTCTGGTGTTACTTAGGCAGGGAGTGAAGGGAAGTGTGCCAACGGGGGTCACAGGTAGCAATAAAACCTGACAGAGGTTCCAGCTCTTCCATACTCTGTTGGCCGTTAAGTCTTACATCTTGGAAAATAGATATGTCGCATACAGGGAAATAATAAATACACATCTTTTGGCCATGTGTCTGCTAGTTATGACCAAGGCATATTCAGAAAAAAAAGCAAATCGGAGTACAATACCCTCTAAGATTTGGTGCTTTCCAGCTTATGCGTAGCCCTTGCAGAGCTTGCCTATGGGCTAGATTTGAATTCTGCTCTATCACTTGGTTTGTGATAGAGTGATCTTTGATGCTTGCTTGTGTGAGGAGATGTGCTTGCTGATGGTTGGAGGTGTGTGGCTTGGCATGCCTGGTTTTGTGGTGGCCTTGTTATCTGTTACATGGAATGAGCTGTCTTCACACTACACATTTTTCTCCTTTTTAATGCAGATAATGTTGGTTCAACAAGAATAATCAATAAAAACGGTAAAGGAGAAGGCAAACACATTACTGTTCACTAAGTATATGAATTACCCCCTGATGTCCACCTTCTAAGTCAGAAAACCCTTGTCTTCTTGTGAAATAATCTTGTCTTGTTTTTTTACCTAACTTCATATTTACCCACAAAAACCCACAGTGTTCCGGACAAAAACAAGGGTCTTGATTGTTGGCAATCAATTACAATCTTCCATTCAGCTAGAGGTGTGAAAAAGAGAAAACAAGAGTTTGTTTGCTATGGATAACACTGATACTTTCCCATTTATATAGGTTATTAATGAGGGCCCTGTATGTTGATTCCACCAGTAGTCCAAAGTGTATAAGTCCAGTAAATGGACACTGAGTACATTATAGAGTATGGCAAAAAAAGCAAGTTACCTATGAATGAATTTGCATTGGTCCTTTAAACAGGCATTTAGGCTTAGTTCACTTCACTGTCTTTGTTAGTGCCTCTTTCATGTCTGAGATATACATAACCCCATCATCCTTTACATCATACATAAGAATGAATTTCTAATACAGTTGATGACTGTGTGTGTATTTTTACATGATTGTAAAATGTCAGATTGTCCATGTAACTGTTTACAGCTTAAGATAACCGTAACTGCATAATATAGCCTTCTGCATGTCTCTTTCTTACTAGTGCTTAACTTGCTTCTTGTGCATGGTCTTTGCTAAATGCCTGTTTTCTAATGCATCTTTGTCTTTGATGCTTGCAACTTAATTCATCTCAGCTACGCTGCCTCGAAAAGAGAGTGCCGTGAAACAGGAGACAGAAAGTGAGTATGAGCTGGTCGCCTTCAACCAGCATCCTTACCTGATGCATTCTTGATCTGGGGATAATATATAATGATCCTTGGGGTTGTGGGTATAGATGGGATAGACTGTTACAGTCCTTTGCTGGCCATAGGTGAACAGATGTTTATGCTCAAATTAGCTTGAACATTAATAATGATATACTTATTATGAGTGAGTTATGAACAATCCAAGGCAAGCATTTGTTTCAAGAAATAAGACCTTGTTTGTGTGCGACTCCTCCTAATGGTAATACTGAGGGGGTCCTCTTTTAGAAAAAACTTCCTTGGGTGTATTATACCTAAAAGCTGCAATTGCTGTATTTGAGAATTGTGGCCTAGCCATTAAATGGGGTAATTCTTTATTCCTTTAGAGAATAATGCATTTATCTTCACACACTACAAACAATTGTCCAGGAGTCCTGCTGCTGATGAACATAATATCATTGAAGAACGGTTGTTTTATGCCAAGACCGTACCTGCTGTGTCCACCTTACTGGCTTTTTCATTTAGGACACAAACTTTGCAGCACCAGACCCGGGTGTCATCTGTGATTAGCAGATGGTACTGGTTAGCATGTGAAGTGGTACTAAAGTGTCCTCACTGGCGTATGAAGTGCAAGGAAGGATTAGAGATGCTTACTGGCTTACCATGTAAACATGGCTTTTACCCAGAAGCTATTTCCCATTTTGGGGGCCTGTTTGCAAATGTTTCCCAAGAAGCAGTGCCCTCAGTCTCCTTACAGTAACTAAACCTTGTATGGCTTCACATGCTGAGAAGATCAAACTAGTTCCCCAAGACAGCCCTGTCCTCAGGTTGTTTTTTTGCTTAAGCTAAGTTTGTGTGATGCTTTCCAGACTTTATGGGTAGGATATTTAACTACAGGCTTCCTCTAGAGATAAGCAAGCCAATTTGTAAATCGGGTAAATAGGCAACTTGCACATATTTGTAATTCACCTAAAATCTATTAATGCTAACTTGTCCAATCTGCAGAGAAATACAAATTTTCTGTACAAATATTCTAGAGAAAAATTTGTGAATCACTGCTTCTACTGATGGAATACATTTAGAAGAATCTGTTAATCGCAAACTTTTGATTTTCCTGAATGCAGATCAGTCTGGTGTGCAGAGAATCGTGCATATCCTGATTGGGCTGGTTTGTTAGTCAGTTTACTCATCCCCATCTGCCATTTAAATTATCATTTACTTAGAAGTCTTTTCTATTTTTGGAGAGGTTTATCTAAACAGACATTCAGCAGCTAAGAAAACTATGTATTTTTATAGAACAGAGTGTTAACTGTCTGTCTCAATATGATGGTACACTTGAATCGGTCCAACTAAAGTCAGCATTGCCTGTTTGTATTTTGAAGTTATTATTATGCTTCAGTTGCATGGTGTTAACTTATGAAGTCTCTTTAAACCTTATGCATGTCCACTACTATAAAACTCACTAATTAAATGCTAGAAGGCATCCTCATAATTAACAAAACTTTTCTAGGTTATCTTTTCTGATGATGCCCTTAAAGGAGAATTATGGGGTGAGTGAAAAACACTCATCCCCATAATTCAAGCTGGCCTGCGACAAAGAGTCTGTCAAAGGTCGGCTCTATTGATCAGGAAGTCAGCGAACACATACGCTGTTCGCTGACTTCCCGATCCTCTCCATGCAGGGAGCGGTGACTATCAGTCACTGCTCCCTGCAAGGATTCCCCCCTCCCCTTTCCGTGTGCTGACTGGAAAAATGGACAGGGGAGGGGCGGGCACAGCTGGTCGGCTGCGGCGCTCTCAGCATATAGCAGGCAATAGCCCTCTATATACTGAGTGATGGGTCAGTGGAGGACACAGTATATATCCTCCCGTGATCATGAGGAGTACTATGGTCAAAAAAGTTTACCCCATAGTTCTCCTTTGATCTGAGAGTTGACCTCACCTGCCTAATGGGGTAGAAGGTAGGGAATATAGGTAGTGAAAAATCCCAGCCCTAGCACAACCTCTTCAGATGTTCCTGTACTGTAGAAAAGTAATGGAGTGTCAGGTTCCTGTTTCATCACAAACAGGGGCATTGGGATTACTTCAAAGAGAATGAAAGCCAAACCTTTTTTTGGCTTTAGTTCTCTTTTGGGTCACCGGAGTATATTTACTAATGTACTCCTGTGACCCAAACTTAGCAAATAGCGGGCTACTGCACACTAAATGCCGACAGCGCAGAACCGTGCTGCAGCCGGAAAGGATCCTGACAATATTGTAAGGATTCACCCTGCTGCCTGATTGACAGCTGGCTCTGCCTCTCTAGAGACAGACAGCTCTGCCCACTCCCTCCCCTGTCTTTCTCTCTCCAATGAGTGCTGGAGGAACAGAGAGGGGAGGGAGAAACCCTGTTGGCAGCGATGACTGACGATCACTACTCTCTGCAGGAAGAAGCCGTCAACGTAAGTTGTTTTTATGATTGCTCAGTTCTTGAGCTATAGAGCCGACATATGACAGCTGCAGTGTCACACACCGGCTCAAACTATTGAGAAGAGTAAGATTTACTCTCCCAATACTTTTCCTTTTAGGGTTACCTTCCAGGTGGAGGGGGCTTTCTTTTTTGGTGGCAGTGCTACTTCTATGAAACCTGGTCGAGCAGCACTGCCTATGGCATAGACATTATGGCCAGATATCGAGTAAGGGTGCAGTGTCAATGAAAGTACGGTAGTATAGCACACCTCTATAGCATCTATCTAGGGGTTACTGGTAAATCAAATCTGAAATTTTCAGTAGGGAACAACATTAGGAGGAAAAACATATTGGATTTTTTTCAATTTCCTGTTGCTTTTTTTTAATCTTTACAGTATTTTATATCAAATCTTTCTTTTACAATTTAACATTAACCCCTTCGTGACTGACGACGTACAGTGTACGTCGCCAGCATCATGTGAATCCATGACACATGGTTTGAAAAGCATGCTGGGCTTTCTAGCAAGAAACCCCAGCACTACAAACTCTACATGCATGCACCCAGTGTTTAGCCAAGTAAGCCAGACAGGTGCGGCTTGGATTTCCTCTGCAAAGCAAAAATGCCAAAGAAATCGGATGTTAAAAAATTACAATCCCTTTAACTCTTTAGGGTTTGTCCCACATTCGTGACCTACCAGATGCTTATTTTTTGCAAAATCTTTTCGTATAAGTTTAAAATAAAGAAGGAAGAAAACATATCACCTAGTCTTAGATTTTAAAAATTAAATGAAGTTTTGTCATCAAGTTGGCAAATTCCTATGTTTGGTGCTTTCTTAACTTTAAGAGATCACCATATCTGTGGATTTATTGTCATGATGAAGCATAGATGACCCTTAAGTAAAATGCCTGTTTTCCCCTTTTTTCAGGCTAGGTTAGCATGTGATGTATGTTTAGTGATGTGCATCCTAGCTTAATAACTAATTTCAACAATGAATATTGCCCAACTTCTTGTTTTTTTAAAGGAGAGCTCCGGGCAAAGAAAAAAACGTAACCTTGCAGTGGGGCTACCCCTGCACTGCAAGGGTTAAGTGCTCGTTTTGTCTAGGGGACTCAAAGCATATTTACTTTACTAACTGATCCTGGGTCCTGCAGTGGTCAGTGCTCGCCTCTCTCCCTGTCCGCTCTGGCTATGGAATATTCTTCAGCATCCTTGCATCTAATGCAGGTCAATGGACCTCTAAAGAGCAGGACTGAGTGGGCTGCTGGGATCGGTTTAGCAGCCTGGCAGGAGCCAGGAGGACAGAGGAGCAGGTAAGTAAAACAGATTTCTTTGAGTCCCCTAGATTGAACGAGCATGCAACCCTTTCAGTTCAGGCATTGCCCCACTACAAGTAAAGTTTTTTTGTTTGCGCAGAGTTCTGCCTTAAAAACAGCTAGTTTCTGACTGGTGATAAAGGAGAGCAGAAAAGGGGGCTGTTTGTGTCAGTAAAGAAATAACTGCCTCCACTGGCCCTTAATATTGCTCGTTTGGGGAGGTTTCCAGACATTTACGTTTATACTGTACATATAATATAATAGACAGCAGTGTGGGACTAGCAGCATGCATTTTACATTAAGTCTTTACTAAGACCCAAGCTGTAGATACCTTTCCAGGGATCTCTGAACAGTTTCGGTCCCTTAGCCCCTTAGCTTGCAATCACCAACTACAAAAGAGCATGCAAAGTGCAGTCTTCTTCAGGGACATTCCGCTGATTGAAGTTTAAGTTATGAGAACAAAGGACTTTGATTCACCAAGCATAACATATAAGGTATTTTCTTTACCATGCATTACTTGCTAAAGATCTTTTTGAAAGGTTTGATATCCCAGATCAGCCAAAATGTACTGCATTCATCACTTTGTTGGCTTTGTGATGCTGAGATTTAGGAGAGTTGACATTATAATGACCAATTCTCCCAGAGCAAGGAATGGCACGACAAGCATAGTTGTGTGCTAGAATATGCACACTAGGATGACTATTCTGTACAGGTAAGTTAAGATTTAGCAGGTTTTCTTGAGTTAGTTTGGAGTGTACGCTTCAAAAATATTTGAGCTGTCCTATAATAATAATAGCAGTAATTTTAGTAGTGAATAGTGATGTCTTTCCAGTACAGGTTTTACAAACAAAAACAGAATTACTCACTTGGCCACCCGTGCTTTAATTATATTTAGAGAAGTGAAGTTAGTGTGGGTTAGTTGGTCAGTATAGCCAACATTACAGAGGATCATGGTTCTAGACCCTATTCATACAAAGTGTATCCCTGTACTGGAATCCAGGTCTTCACGGGAGCTCTGGAAAACTAACGGGGTCCACATCCAGTCTGAATAAGCTGTCTGTCCAGAGCACGGGAAATCGCAGATCTCAGTCATCTTCTCTGCTGGATATGGGCAACATGTCCGCCTCTGATTTGGATGTCGCCGACCGCACCAAGTTTGATAAGGTATTTTCAGGTTATTTTTGCAGGCTATATGCAATGCTATTTTGTGTAAATAGGTTTTACAAAAGAGTGACCAAAACAAAAATGTGTTTGACTCATGCATCATGTATCTAAACCCAAAGACAAAAATTTAATATATTGCAGCTTACAAGTCCTTAGATGTGGTGGCCTTATTAGTTAAGCTGTTTGCTAAGAACATTTTCAGCAAGTACAGAAAATATATGTAAATCTAGAGCTCTTGTTGCTTCCTGTGAGCTGAAAAGGACAGTCAAAACTATTTTAGCTATCTTTTGTAAACTACTAGCCCCATCATTTTTGTTTTGGGTTTTAGATACACTTTGAGCTTGAGATGTTTGTCCTTGAAGCCTGTCAACGGGCAGTGAAATTGTCCTATTGCACCGTGGATATCCGCCATTACATTTCTCCTGGGCTTGGACCACTCCCTTTTTGCGTGTGTATAAAAAATTTATTTTTTATGTGTGCGAAAACTGGATTGATTGCATAGATTTTGCTGGAGGTTACCATTGCCTAACTTTCAGAAGCAGTACTAGTTCTAGGGCAGACAAGTCACTGTGTCCTAAAACGATTAGGCCCCTTTCAGATGGCTGCCTTCGGTTCCAATCCACAGGGGATCCATGCACAGATTCTCTGCTGATCGGACCCATGTTGGTCTGTGGCGAATCGGATGTAAACAGACATGTGTCCGTTTACATCAGATAAACTCCGATCTAGCATGGGCAGGTCTGTCGAAATGGAACCCGTTTGGATCTGGCTGCCCATAGACTAACATCGGGCTTCCAATCAGGTCCACCTGAAAAACAGGCAGACTTGATCGGAATTCCCGTGTGAAAGAAGCCTTACTGCTTTTCTGAGTTGGGCAGTGGCAGCTTCAAGTACTCCATGGGAACCTTGGCTTTCATAGGAAACATTCTTACATGTTCCCTTCCAATCATCGTTAATCCAGTTACAGCAACTGAATGTCAAATCAGTCATAATGCTCTACTACTTCTGAAGCATATGAATCCCATAGAGGTTAAACGTTTCGGACCATACCGTGTTCCTTGTTTCTTTGCAGGCTTTAGAAGGTTGGCTTGTTTTTTTGCACACTCCTATTGTGTGTTTTAGGTTTAATCATTCAGTGAACACCACCTCAAGAATATGGGTATAAGTCCTGAGCTCCGGTATTGTACATTGGACAGAATGGCAGAGCAGAGCCAGATAAGAACTCCCCAGCAATGTCCTCAGTTGGTGGACATTAAATAAATAATTGTATAATATAATGTCTGTGTATGGCCACCATTAGAGTGTTTATGGGTAGTTCTGCCTTTGTGTTTTAATTGTTACCCTTTGTGTTTAATGTGATTGCCTGTCATAGTTTTAAATGCTTAAATGTGCTTAATAAGGTCTACATAGTCAATCTACGTTGGATTTCTTTCAGATATTTGAACAGGTCTTAAGTGAACTGGAGCCGCTTTGTCTGGCAGAACAAGATTTCATCAGTAAATTCTTTAATCTATCTCAGCATCAGAGCATGTCTCGGACACCCATGGTAAGGGGCACTGTTTATTTATTAATGTTAGTTGTGTCAGTTTTATTAGCATTTCTGTCTAGTTTATTGTTTTCAAGCCAGGCAATAAAGAGCAGCAGAGTGCAAAAATAAATTGGAGGAGGAAGCAAAAAAGCTATTCTGCATTGAAGTTAAACAACAGCAATTGCAGGTCAAGGGGTGTCTTAGTGCCAACTTAAAGAGACCCTGATGCCAGACCGTTCATTTTAACAAAAATCTTCCCATAAGATTATATGTGCATTTAAGATATTTTATGCATTGTATTTACCAAACCTCCCTTGTGAAAGCCTCCCTTGTGTAGACATCCAAAAATCATGGGACTGCTGCTGGGAGCAGTCTCAGTGTGGGCATTGGCGGTTTAAATTTCATGTTCAGAAGATACACTTAATACTTACACCACTTATTGGGAAATGGTGACCTAAAACCATCTCAAACACTGCAACAGCAATTTTATATATCTGACACTGTCCTTCCAGAAGGAAGGACAATGTCGGCACACATTTAGTGGACCTTTAGCCCCTTTCACTTAAAATCACATGAGCATGCAGCTCTGCATGCTGTTATAAAATCTTACATTCATTTGGTAAATTAACATATTTTTCTTTTACTTACAATTAATGTTTTTCCACTTCCTGGTCCTCTTAGTCATTGGTGATGTAGCCCATGCCTAAGAGATGCATCCTGAGATAGTTGCATCAGCAGTGCATTGCTGGGAAATCTCATCAGTAAACTGCAAGATGTCAGGGAAAAGCCTTTTTCCCCCTTGAGATGATGTACATGGTAACATGTCCTAGTTACATGTGGCAAAGTTCCAGGAATGGCTTCTTTGGGCCTTACAAGGTTCTTGACAGCATAAAATGGTGACTTTACCATTGTCCTGAGTAACAGTTTCAGATTTGTATATTAGGAGATGTGTGTTCTCTTCCCAATATATACATGTAATTTTTTAGCTCCTTATTGTACCATAGACATATATTCCCAATTTTGTGCTCTTGGACCATGTATTTGACATTGATGGTACAGGGGGATGTATGCTATTGTCTGTCACCATATTTTGCTTCATGTGTATCTGCTGGACATCAAATGCTTTACATTAGTTTTATTGCAGTGCATCATGCAAAGATGTAGCTATTAGTGAAATGAGTACAATGTAAATGTTGATGACAAAAAAATGTTTTTAATCTATGCAAGATTTCAATACATTCCAGTTGTGATTTTCTGTACAAGTCCAGTAGTAGCACAGATTGGCTGTTGTATATAGTGTAGTTTCAGAAGCAAGAGCTTGGGCACATAAAAGGTAAATTATGTTGCTGCAGTGATTAATTCAGCATTAAGGGTTCAGATTAGGGTGTTAGATTAATACTAGGTGGTTAGGGTTAGAAGTTAGGTGGCAGGGCCGGACTGGGACAAAAAATAGGCTCGGGCATTTTAGACTAGCAGCCCAATCATGTGACCCCGAAGGCCCCACCCCAGTCCAATTTGGGGGTGGAGCCAGACACGGAAGCACAGTCAAGAGGCCAGCTGCTGGTAAGTACAGGAGGGCTACAGACGACACCCAAGTCTTGCTACAACCAGCATACACACCTTGCAACAATCCAGGAAGCCTGCTGCAGAGACGTATTGTGATATCCTCAGTGAATCTCCACCTACCTAGCCATCCTCCGTACCCCAAGCATGGTGTACCTGTCACTGATCCCGAAATAGCGTTCCCAGTTCTTCAGTAATTCCAGCACAATACCACTTATTCTGTACACAGGCCAACCACAACACCACTGCAATGACAGCTTTTGACCGGGCTTTCAGAGTCGAGACTCTATTGGCTGGAAACTGCCGCAATACAGAATTTCCACTCCAAAATGAAAGCTTTATGTGCGGCCGACAATGCTCGGGTGGATGCTCAAAGAATGTAAAGTTGTCTTACAGGTAATAGCATGTGGGTTGCCAGGAGCACAGACGCCTGTCTTAGGCCTCAGGGCTGCCTAGTTTGCCTACTTACAGGGGACACAGTACAGTATAGACTCTATGGGTGGCACATTGGGCTACAAAATTATTAAAGGGATAGAAGGCCTGAGCAATAAAGACCGCCGCCAACAATTAAACTTATTCACCTTAGAAAAGGGGTGCTTAAGAGGGGACCTTAATGCAGTCTTCAAAATCATCAATGGAGACCACACTATTCAGAACAAATTGTTTTCAAGTGTTTCATTATTGAGAAAACGCAGACACAACAAGAGGTTAGAAGAGAGGGGGTTCAATCTTTGAACACGCAAGGGTTTTTTTACTGTGCAAGTAGTAAAGGTATCGGCGCTTAGTATTGGGGCATTGCTTGTGAAAATGACTTGTAAATTGCAAATCGTACCAGTCTATTACTCCCTGTACACCTTTAAATATACTGGGAGTAATAGCCAGGTATTTTTTCCAATTTATTGGTGCACACTGTGTGTAATACACAGTCTCCTTCCTACCTTGGATGTGCTTCAATGATGGCACTCTGCAGCTGTTCCTCATGGTGTCCCTCTTGTCCTAAAGCTCCAGTTGGTGCTGTCAGTCAGGGGACACAGACACCTTTGCTGCTGCATGCAACTCCTGGGCCCTGGCACTCTCCATGCTCAGGATGACAAACGTGGATTGGTGGTGACTCATGCACACAGCTGGGTTCCTACTGGGTTGACCTCAGCTGCCTTCCTCTAATAGAGCCTGCCAGGACCACCTCCGCTGCTTCCGGCACCAGATAAAGACAGACCCAGTCAGTAACCCAGCACACCGCACCAGGCGAATGGAGTGCGGCCGACCGGATTAGAGATACCACTCTCAGGCTCTCATTGCCCTGCTCAGAGCAGGCAGATCTACAGCGTCCAAGCAGGCCAGTGCAGGAGAAGGTTGATGCATTGCATTGGGCTGCCAAGTGCCCGACACTATGCATCGGGCATAGCGGGGCGGCCAGGCCGAACACATTCCGGCTGACTGTGTTTAGCCCGGCCCACCGGGCAACTGCCCGATACGCGCTATGGCCAGTCCGGCCCTGTTAGGTGATAAATTATAGGTTTCATGTTAAGATGAAGTTTAAGTGTTGTGCGGATGGTTATACATTAAATATAATTTCAAAGAATATGGTAAATGGCAACTCCACCTAAAAATATATTTTAGTGTTTGGTGGCTACTATTATAAGTCATACAAGGTTAGACGCCCCTGAAGTAAGTTTGTTCTTTTTACTTGTTTTTATGCATGTTAGTTCATCTCCACTACTGTGGTTTTCTATGTACAATATGATAACTTGTTCTCAGTAAATTTTTTCCTGTAATAACACACCACTAAAACCAGTAGCAAATGACTTATTGTCTGAGCCAAAATAGGGATACTTATTGTTTATCTATTAAAAAGCATCTACGCAAATAAAAGGAAGCTCTTATGTGAGGATGAACAGATGAGTGAACCACAAAATTGCTACCCAGAATTTCTAAAGGAACACAAAGGGCTGATTAGTAAATCTAAATTATGACGTTATATATTATTCATTTCACTCATTTGTTGTGGTTTTGTAAAAGTCTCCCTGACATTTATATTGTAATTCATGAAGCTAATGGATTAATGTGGAAGCTTGAGCACCTTCATCGTATCAGTTTGATCAGGAAGGAAGCAATTTATTATTTAAACAACAGCTTATGATATCATGGTGGCGTTATTAATGCAATGAGTTTGTAGAGAATTTGTAAAGTTAGCTAAGGCTTGAAAAATGAAGTGATTTAGGAACAAAACAACTAGCTTACTTAGTGCAGGACACTCTAAAGTCACATACGACTAAACTGAGATAACAAATGTCATCTGTCAGATAATTTTCCCACGTTTCTCCATCTTGCTTCTTTTGCTCATAAATGATTAGCAATTAAATGGAAAACTATGATTTCTTTCTCTTTCATTGAGGGACACAGGCGTTATTTCACCTACATGATAAACTGCTGCCTACAGGAGGCATGGACACTGACAAACAAAAGACTGTCGGTCAACCCAGGATAGTCCATCCTACTACCAGCATGCCTCAGTTTTTTGTCAGTGTTCTAAGAGGAATGGAAGTATTTTCTTCAGCTCTGCTGATTAAAAGATTAACCTATTTTTACTAGCACTGTTTTTTATTATCCTTCAAAAATTCCTCTTCTATCAACAATCTTTTCTGCATCACTGCTAGAGCAGGTCTTTTTGATTTCAGCCCTCCCAGCTCAGCCATCCTGTGCCTGGCTTTTGAAGTGCCGTGTCCGGCCCTTGCTGGGCTGAACATTGTGGGCATAGGCTGGGAGTGACTTTTTCGAGCTCTGGGTTCAGAGTAAGGTGCTTTTCAGGCTCTGTTTTAGTAATGATTTAGCATGCGGAGCACTTTCCAGATCCAGAACTTCCGACATTTCCTGTGCACTCACTCCATGAGAAAGGCTGGTCAAGCCAAGCAGCGGGAGCAACCTCAATTACATTGGTCGTTAGGCGGGTTTAAATTTCCTGTTTGCTGCTGATTTCCACCGTGCAAGGTGTTAATGCTGTGGGACAGAGTGCTGACATCATTCGCTGGGTAGAGTGTCACATGCACATGCTCCGAGCTTTTCCACCATACAGTATTGAGGAAGCATCTCCCCACTGCTGCTTCTGTTTGAAAAAAATTAGGTGGAACATTTGTAGTCAAGTTTGGGAAATTCACACTGTTTATGTGTTCCCATCAGTATACCTAAAATAGTTTAACAAATATTTCTTATCTTTCTAATTCTTTGGGCAGACTGCAAGCTATTCTGAACAGTTTCAAAGTGAAAGTGGAGAAGCAAACTGGGAACAAACTGAGATAAAGTGCATTACTTTACATTGCACCACCCACGCCTTGTGATGTTTAGGCCTTTATTAGGGGAGAATGGGTTTAAATCTATTTTACATCTTATAATGAAATCTACCAGCACAATACAGACAAAGTTAATTATGGTAAACATTAAAGGAGAACTATGGGGTGAGTGAACTACACTCATCCCCATAGTTAGGGCCGACGTGTGACATTGAAACTGTCATACGTCGGCTCTATTGATTGGGAGGTGAGCGAAACATTCAGCCGCTCACTCACTTCCCGATCATCTCCCTGTAGAGAGCGGTGAATATCAGTCACCGCTCCCCACAGGGATTCCCCCCTCTCCGATCCTCCAGCGCTGACAGGAGGAACAGATGAGGAGGGGGCCGGTACAGCTGGCAGAGCCCGCTGTCAATCAGCCAGCGGGGTGGATCTTGAAAATATTGTCGGGATCCATCCCAGCTGCGGCATTCTCAGTATATAGCGTGCAATGTAATCTGTTTCCCAGATTAGCAAGGTTGCCACCTTGTCTTCTCTTCACATGTTCTCTAAGTTCTACCAGGTGCACATTGTGGCCTCATGTGGTGCTAGCTAACATTGTGGCCTCATGTGGTGCTAGTGTAAGGTCCAATAGCCAGCTCAGACATGATTTCTATACTATACATGGTCTGAT